AAAATCATGACCATATCAATATTACACCCCTGAAAAATTATAACTAAGATATTAACCGATAGTAAGATAAGAGCGGAAGAATATGACAAGGTAGTGTTTTACTAATATAAGTCACTCACTATATTTATGCTTAGGAGATTGCACTACAAAAAGTTCTCATAATCGTTTGGGGGGCACCCATTGCCACCCTGTCTTCTCGAACAAATCGTGACCGTATCAACCTGCATCCGCATAGTCCGTGAAATAACGCGGAATCAGTAATCCTTATCCCGCTTAACAATGCACAGATAAATTTAGAATTTAGAAGAATTGCATTCTATTCAGGACGTCGTTAAAGTTAAAAAGAATTCACACGATGTCTTTTAGCTGATGTGAACAGCATTGGTTATATAATTTTTTGTTTGAACAAACAGCACATCGCCCTTCACTTTTGCGAAATCGTAATTGTGCAAATTTGACACAAATGAAGAGACTTACTTCATTAGTAAAAAAAAATATTCTCACGATCTGGAAAATAAATGCACGAACGATTACATTAACACGAGTTTTATAAAAGGTTTTAAAATAATAATGGACGAGATTCAGAGATAAGAATGGTTAATTCAGATTGTAATTTGTACTATTTGGAACAAGTTGCATTAACCTACAAGAAATGATTTATTATTAATTGAGGTGTACGAAAATATTACGAAAATTTAACGCATTTACAACACAATACATATGAAAAATTAAAGCCAATGAATTTAGCTACTCTCTTATATTTATTTGGTGTAGCTTTTTATATTATTTTGGTATGACTTCTAAAATATCTAATATAATTCAAACTTTTAAGTAAGTTTTACTTTAGGGTAAGTGACATGAACTTTCTGATACGTGTAAATAATCGAATTAATCAGTTAAAAAATCAATACGTAATTATGATTGATTTTTAAGTATAACCAGTATTGTAGAGTATTATATGAGTATTATCATGTGAGGCTATTCAATTTGAACAAATTATTCAAACATGTTGGCTTACGTAGGGGGGGTAGGCATCAGTAATTCAGTATGTTCGTTAAGACCAGAAAATATTGTCATAAAACCTTGTATTACATATTTTCTGCCAAACATGTTTTAACTATCAATTAGACTATGATCTAGCTCATTCTGTCAAAAATCTATATATATAAAAATTAATGTATGTCTGTGTGTGTGTTCTGTATTCTTAAACCATACGTTCCATTGCTGTGAAAATTTGGGAAACTATTTGATATGTATACCAGGACAGGTTTTCGGATATTTGATTGACCTCAAGTGGGGGTTGGCAGCACCGAAGACTTTTTTTATTCATTTTTTTGGTCAATTTTCATTTTTATATCATGCATATAACAACAAATTTAACGCTAAATTTTCAACCTACTATCATAAATCCCTATTTTATATGAATTATTATAGTAATTACATAATTTTTATAAACCATGCATCCGATCGCCGAGAAAATTTGGGAAAATGTTAGTATCTCCGGACAGTTTTCGCGTTTTTTGATTGAAACCAAGTGGTAGGGGCTGGACGCCCTGATTTTTTTTATTAAAATTTCATTGTCATTTTTTAATGTCTTTATAATGCCTATATTAAAAATACATATAGCCTTAAGTTATCACTATCTTACCACAAGCCCCTATTTTGAAATAATTATTATAGCAATTAAATTATTTTTTTATAAACCATACATCCACTCGGCGTGAAAATATGGGAAATGTTAGGTATATCCCTGAGCAGGTTGTGGCATATTTTGATTTAAGGGTTGGCCACCCCGATTATTTTTTCGATTGAGATTTTTTTTTGAATTTCGATTGAGATTTTTCAAAGTTAATGAAAATAGTGAATTTTTATTACGGATTGATAATCTCTAACCATCTCTTTAATTTATTGAAGACATTTTCTTTTTTTTATAAGACAGACATTTAATTATCTATAATATATATAGATAAGTAAAGGAGGCATTTGAAGAGGCTCCATTTTCGATTGGAGGTATAAGAATCATCACCATAAAGTACGCTGATGATCTAGTAGTGATGTAGAAAAACCAAACCGAGCTGCAAAACATGATGAGCAGAATCGTCGAAGTGGGTTGAAGATACGGAATGGAAATCAAAATAGAGAAGTCGAAAGTGTTGAGAATCACAAAACGAAATAATCCCTTGAGGATAACGGTAGAGGAAATTTAGAATTGAAAATCGTGAATCATTTCAAATTTCTGGGAAGCATACTGACCAGAGACGGATATTGCACGACAAGGATCGCAAGCACCAAGGCGGCATTGAAGAAGAGAATGCTACGGATCGGAGACATGGACTTTAAGAAAAACCGATAAAAATTACCTCGAGAGTTTTGAAATGTGGTACTGGAGGCGAATGGAGAAGATAAACTGGACAGACAAAATAGCAAATGAAAAAGTCCTGAGAAGAGTGGGCTAAGAAAGGAATCTACTGAGCACAATTCTGAGAAGAAAAGGAAACTGGATCGGCGGACCTCTTTTGCAAAAAGTGTGCCTCCTGCACGACGTCGTCTAGGGTAAAATAGAAGAAATGAAAGGAATGGGAAGAAGAAGAATGCGGACGATTGACGACTTACGCGAGAAAAGAAAAACAGGGAACTGAAAGCCGAAGTACAGGATCAAAAAGCATGAAAGCAGAAGTTTGGAAAGGAAAATACATTAAATAATAGGAAATAATGCTAATTAGAATGGTAGACGAAGGGTAAGGAAATCATTTATTTGTGGTGGCTCATACACCATGGACCTGCCTTCGGCAGACGGTGCATTTGCATGGTGCAATGCATTTACTATTATTATTATTATTATTATTATTATTATTATATATAGATACGGCGGAATTAAAAAGTAAATATAAATATAAAAATAAATATAAATATAGGGTAGAACTGGGCTTAAAGGACCGCGGGTAAAAAAATCCACTTTATTAACTTCCCGTAGGGTAAGTTATTGTAATGGGCCGAAAATCGAAATTGAAATTTTTTACATTTCTCGACGTTTTGAAGGTTTCTGAACATTTTGGCATACCTCAGAAAAAATGAATGTGTGTGTGTGAATGTATGTATGTATGGATACAAATTGCCAGTCACGTTTTCGGACGCACGGATCAACCGATTCGAATGGTTCAAAAAACATTCTATTCCTATTGATAGGGAGATGAGCTGATTAGGCAGGTCCAGCAGTTACGGAGATAAAGAGCAAAGAGTGCAGAAAATAGAAATCGAGTTTTTGAGAGAACGGAGCGTCCGATTTGAATGATCTAAAGAACATTCAATTAGTAATGATTGGGAGAAGTGTTTATTAGTTTTTGGCAAAGGCAGGCCCAGCCATTTCGAAGATACGGAGCTAAATGTGTAAAAAATGGCAGTTTTTGAGAGAACCAAGCGTCCGATTTAAATGATTCTTAAAACTTTGTGCTTGTCTTAACAAAATAATTGATTTTGGAAAAAAATATTTTTTGTTCCAACTTTTTTTTTCAAAAAAAAAATTTTTGTTTATCGAAAATAATTCAGATTTTATTTTTAATTCTGACTATAGTTCTAATATACTTTAAACAAATAATTTTAACTTTGCAATTCAGTTTATATAATTCTTATAAATATTAGGCAATGTTACAATATTAACTATAATATAATCTATTTGAATTTGAATAATCTATTTGAAAACATTCAGTATTCCTCAAAAATTTCGTTACGGTACGGGAAGTTCCAGCAATTCGCCTTAAGGCATGATGCCACCCACCCCACTAGTTTAGTTTTTTTAATTGTTTTATGATATGCATTATTAGTCCGATTTTAAATCCAACAGATTTATAATTGTTTTCTATGGGTATGCTAAAATGTATAAATATCTCTGCAACGTAAAGATATGCAAATATTTTCAATTACGATTTTTTGCAATTACTTCAACTTACCCTACGAGAAGTTAATAAAGAAAATAAATCGTACCTTTATTTAAAATAGTTTTTTTCAATAGTTGATAGATTTATCTGAATCAAAACAAATATGAAGTAAATAACTCCGTTTGTTTAATATAATGAGTCGCCATCTTTGGTCAATAATACGAAAGAACAGCAGGTGACAAGGGCGAAGCCGTTCACCATTTTGTCACTCGCCAAGTCATGGCGTCTAGCTAAGCGAATATCCCGTGCAATTGGTGTTTTAATTTTAATTAGTGGAAAACTCCTTTCGAGGCGTTGAAAACCGCTAAGAAAATGGAGGAAAAACGCGAAGAATTATGCCTGAAGCGAATCTGTCGGTTCTGCATGACCCAGGAAGAACCATTAACAAACATATTTGAAAAGGATTCGCCAGCAGAAAATAACGCGGTGCCGTTGCCTTTACAGATTATGGCTTGCGTTTCTGTTGAGGTATTACTGAAATAATGATTTAGTTAATTGATTTATTTTTCGTTTTAAGTTTGCGCAAAAACGTAAACAGACTGTTTTGTTTGTATGGTTTGCTTCTCTAATCTTGGAAATGACATTTTAACTTTGCGCCATCGAATTAAGAAATGGTTTGTTTACTAAGTGGGTATTTTTACCTTTAATTCGCTAATGGTAATGGTACTTTTGTTTATAATAATATACTAAAATATTAATGCTCAAATAAGCACTTGTGCACAATTGGCCTTTCTCACTCAACTACCATGAGTTTTCCAGTTACTAAATTCAATACATGTTTATTTTATTAGAAACTAATGTTTTTGTTGAATTTGCATGTTTACAAATATTACTTATTTATTACTTTGCATTTTCTTATGAAGAATATGACATCTCACAAAGTTTATGAAAACATAAAAGTTCAATTAACAAAGTTGCTCATTGGCTTACAATTTTGTTTAAGAATAGTCCAATTGTGACTCGTATTTTCAGTTTTCTTTCTATTTTTATTATCTGGATGGATGCATCTCAAGAAGTTTTTGTTTAATCGACATATTCATCACCATCTGAAAAAATTATTACATATTTATACATATATGTATATGTATATAATAGCATTTATAATTAGAAAAAGCATAAAAGTGGGTCTACATTATAAAAGATTTACTCACCTGAAATTTGTTTTGCTTTTGAGCTGAATAATTCATTCAAAGGTCTGGAATCAAAACATAATTCATTACTTATGTTCTGGGAATCTTCTAGTTAGAATTTTGTATTTGCTCAAACTATTTATTAAATTTTTGGTGACAATTTATTTCTATTCGGAATCTAATATTTCAAACTTATTTGGTACAAATATATTTATATAATATTCATATCACTATATTTATAATTTGGATCTACTACAACCAATACATAATACCAAATTTATATTTGAAACTTGGAGAAAATCTTTTCATAATGAAGAAATGAATTGTAACAACTTGAATGATCTTCTCAAATAAGACATTAATATTAAAGGTTTAATTTAATAAGTTGCTCAATTGCTTGAGCAGTTTTAATGACTGTATAACATTCTCAACTTTTTATTTATATTTACAGCACAATATTGGCTAGTTTTTTTTTTCTTTAATTTTATTTAAGCAAATATTTCTTCAGCCTAAAAGTAGTTAGTCATTACAATACAATTATCAAATCATTTTAAAACAAAGATGAATAAATTATAATTAATTATGTGACAATATTTGCATTCATTTTTATAGCAAATCTTGAAACAGATTATATTAATATTGAAATTAAATTTTGTTCAAAAATAATCTACATTACTAAAAATTTTCAACATATCGCAGAATTGAATTCAATTTTTTTCAATGATTTAATGATTTATTTAATGTTGATACTAGTGTAATATTGTTTCATCTTATTTTTTTTATAGGTCTTTTATAATGATGGAATGCCAAGGACTATATGTAGCCCATGCAGAATATTGATGGATAGATCTTATCGATTCAAACAAATTTGCAAACAGAGTGATAGTGCTTTGAGGCAATATCCAAACACTGGAGTTTGGCCTGAACCAATAAGTTTGCCAGATGATATTTTTGAGGTATGCAAATTTGACAGAATTTAAAACGTTAGTTTGAGTTATATATTAGTTTTTTTTCCAATAATTGATGTTGAAGATGATGATAAAACTTGCAAGTTATACAATATAATATTGTTGTTAATAAAATTTTCTTTATTCAGACAATACAGGTGCAAAATCGAAAACGTGGTATTGATGAGGTGGAAGAGGATTCCAATGAGACTGCAGAGGAGAACCCTCCTTCACCAAAGCAGGTTAAAACCTATGTGGAGCTCAAACCAGTGACAAGGAATAGAAATAGGACTGAAAACAAAGCAACTAAGAATGATGAAAATAAACCAAAAATTTTGAATCTACAAGCTGGAACTACTACTACAGAAGTATCCAAGGTTTTAAAAATCGAACGCAGAAGTACATTGAACGATGGAAATACAGAACAATATGTGCTCAAGGAAGATTTCTATGGTAAATATTGTTGTTAATTCGAGATATTGAAAATGTTTTCCCATGAATTGTTAAGGTAAGACGGGGTATGTTGTTACATATCCCTTTGTTATAATGCTAATAAACATGCAGTTTAGAAAGTTTGAGCATCCAACTTTAAATAATTGTCAACACCTAAAAGATATGGGCATGTTTCGATACAGAAGAAGAATTCAAGGAGTCACTTTAGTATTTTTTATGCCATTTTATAGCTTTTTTCTATAAAAAGGATATGCCAATTTTCCACTCTCTAGCTTATCATCTGGCCGAGACACCATTGAAAATATGCAAAAGTAACCCCTTTTTCAAAATCACTTTTTTAATGCAACTGTAAATCATATGGAAAAACAAATACTGCAATTCTATTCAGATTGGTCAGGCTTTATTACTAATAACAAATATTGTTAAATAATCATTTACTAGTACATCAAAAAGTGAAAAATTTGAATTTATTTTGAATTTTTGGGTACTGATATTATTTGGACTAATTTTTAATTAGCATAATTAGAAAGGCTATTCATTCTGGATTTGAGTTGAAAAACGAAGAAATGCAATCTTACGATTGCCTACTACTTATAACTAGAGGACATTTAAACAAATAATAACATTAACTAGTTGATGTAACTAACATTTACATCAATATAATATAAATCTAAAACTTAATTTTGTAATTATGTTTGATTTAATTGGTGAAATGAGTGAAACATAATTACGTTTGTTTTCTTTTTTTTGTCTACTTTATTTACTAACATCAACATAAACGTTATGATTTTTGAAACATGATTCGAGCGGATAGAAAACTAATACCAAACTAAATGCATTTTTGTTGGTGAGCTTTATACTAAAGCTAAAGACTTAAGTTACTGCATGGTACAAATTGCATTGCTTTTGTACACAAAAATAACTTGATAGTATTTGTGTGCATCAACTGTACTGAAAGAGTTAATGTTTTCATAAAAAATTACTACATTTTATACCTGTTTTCCAATTAGTACTTTCACTCAATCCAAAATTGTTTTTTTTTTAGTTCTGCAAAAATCATAAAATTAATTTTTATCATTTAGATTATGATGATAGACCAGCTCTCAGCGATGATAATCCAAACAAGCCAACAGTTTGTGTTGAAACTGATGTCTTTCCTTGTGACCATTGCGATAGAAGTTTTCCTCTTCAACAATTATTGGACATCCATATGCGCCGTCATACCAGAGAAAGAAAATATCATTGTGATCAGTGCTCAAAGAGTTTCTTCAGTAAATATGATTTGGCAAAACATGCCAATGTACATAGTGGTGAGAAGCCTTTTACTTGTGTTGAATGTGGGAAGGCATTTGCAAGAGCTACGCTCTTACACAGGTAATAATAATAAATAAATAGAAAATTGAAGAGTAAAGCTGTATTTAAATTTTATTATAATAGGCTGTAAAGTTTAAGATGATGATTGTAATTGTAAATGCTATCAACAGTTACTGCTGAGTTCAGTGTCTGGAGATTATTTTTAAATATTTGCATTTTTTTTAAATTATTAATCTATATTCCTAAAGTAATAATAATTCCTAAAGGTGAGAGTGTACCAGTAATATGAAAATCTCGCTATAAGAAACTCGGATTTAACACTAGATATACACTAGATACACCATGCTAATTCCTAGCATGTTCTATGTAAACCAGATATCGCGTTATATGGTAACCTCGCTGCAAGAAACTCAGAATAGGCACAAAAATTATATCATTTTTTCCATCTTATATGGAGACTAATGCATTCAAAAGACAGAATAACTAATAAGTCGTTTTTTTTGAATTGAATTATTCATACATCAAAAAAGTATGAATCATTTTTATTAAATTTATGGGTATATAGGATATGATAAAAAAAAAACTTATTTAGAAAGACAAATGTGCTGTGAAAGAACTCTAAAGACTACTATACTAATATTGTACACATCTGTGATATAATCTGCCTCGTTTATATTGTAAAAGATAAAATACTCTATAATAAGTCTTATATTAAAGCCTCTTATAATATCTAGTTATTAGAGTCATTCGGGTTTTTCTTATTTAGTGTCTTTATTGATTTTCAAATAAGGTTAATTTATGTTTTGAATATTTTTATTCTATATATTTCTGTTTTCTAGGCATGAAAAAGTGCATGTAGACACTCCCAAGTTCTTATGCAGCACTTGTGATAAAACATTTTTATCACTAAACGAACTAGATAGACATGAAAGTAATCATCGCAAGACAAGAATGTTTGAATGTAAAGAGTGCAATAAGACGTTTGCATATAAGCAGGGATTGGAACGTCATTCATTTGTACATGCTGAAGCTAAACCTCATCAGTGCCATTACTGCAATGAGGTAAGAACTAATAACAAAGAAGGACTAATTTTATTAGAAATCATTTTCATTAGTTTTATATATAAAAATGAATCACAAAATGTGTTGCTAAGCGCATAACTCAACAACGCCTGAACCGATTTGGCCAATTCTTTCTTTTAAATATTTGTTGAAGTCCAAGGATGGTTCTTACGGGGAGAAAAAATCGAATAATTGCCGGAAAAACCCTAAAAACAGCCATTTTCTTTTTCACATACAAACGTTTTCTAACTGAAACGTAGAATCAATTTGAGCTTTATTGCTATTATATAAAGTTCATATTAAATTACAAGCACTCACTGTATACTCCTTCTAAACGATTATACGGATTTTGATAAATCTTTCTGAAGTTTGTTAAGAAAATTTTCTAAGATGTTTGTGATTATAAAGTACTGGGATGTATGTGCAATAGTGTAGAAATAAATGGAAAAAATGCAAAAAACGACATGTCATTGTTTGCATTGAAAACAAATAAAAACTATCATCTGCCAAAAATTTCAATTTACTTATGAACCTAGCTAGACAATATTAGAATATGTATAATAAATTTATGATTATGAATAAGAAAACTGAAATGTCTACATTATTATTGCCAAAAAGCAGCTGAGATGTGCTAAAAATTAAAATAATATAAAATACAGTATATGATGGCAGATTGAATGATACACATATGAACAGGACATGACAAATTAATTCACTTAAAATATGAAATGAATATTAATCAGGGTCGGTCCTACCTTTAATGCGATGCATGCAAAAAATACGAGCGCACGCCTTAGGGGGCGCCAACACAAGATTCGGATATTAAATTTTCAATAAAGTCTTTTTTTAATATATAAATAATTTCTTTGCATCTTTTACTAATCTTTCCACAATATTTTCAAAATTCGTAAAAATTTCACTTTATAACAACAAATGGGAAAGTAAAGATGAATACATACAATTCGGCCCTCACGATATCCATTAGAAGAAGTTTAAGATGCAATTTTGGATATCTTACATTATAAAAAATTACATTAATTTAATCCAACATAAAGTACCAGTGTTATGTTATGGTTATGGTTATGTTATACCGTTTAAAAGACTTCAATTTCCAATATAGTGTGGGAATTGAGACTCATCATTTTATTTAAAGCAGTTCTGCATTTAACATTGCTCATATTATAAATGTGTATGCATTTTGGCGTGAAGAGTAATTTAAAAAACAATAATTATTAGTTTTAGCTAAACGATAAATATTAGTATATTATATTAAAAAATTGTAGACATAGGTACAGGACAACGTCTGTCGGGTCATCTAGTTTTATATAAATATTTGTTGAAGATTAGTAATTAATTGTATATAAATTTATTATTTCTCAGAGTTTTACAACTGATGGTAAATTAGCAAGGCACATTCGCAGACATGCTGGATCAAGGCCCTATCCCTGTAGATATTGTCAGAAATCTTTCTTGCTTTCTCATCACCTGACTAGACATATGAAAACATCTCATGCAAATGAAGATCAGAACAGGCGAAATCGTTCTGAACAAATGATTACTAGAGGATCAGGTAAATGTAACTAACATAAGATTTGTAATCTATTTCAACTATAACATTCAACAGTTTTTTAACTTCCCAAAGGAGAAGTTTGTTTTTGCCAGAAAATCCGTCTTGATAATTTCGTTTTCTCGACGTTCGAAAATCGTTTCAGACTTAATTTGAAAAAGTATATGTGAGATATGTGAGTCGATCTTTCGTCGACGTTTTCTCAAAAAACCCTGAATCGATTTCCAAAATTTAAGAGCCATTATATTATACTCAATAAGGACTTGTGTTGTTTATATCTTGCGAGGCTATAGGCTTTGCAATTTCTTTAGAATGACAAAAAAAAAAACTTCAACCCATTTTGAAATTTAAAAATCGTTTTGAAATTTAAAAAAATATATTATGCTGATTAATTCAAGTAATGATAGACAGGGCTGTTTCTTTGTAATTAAATGTTAAAAAAAATATTTTTTGGTATTTTTTAATGAAATATACCATGACAATAGAGTCTAAAGCCTAATCAAGCAACCTAAAATATTGTAGTTCTAAGAACAGTAATTAAATTATAAAATTTTATTATGGTTTGAAATAATGAACTAATAATAAGTAGTAATTGCAATATTATGAATTAAATTACAGATAACATAGTTTTTTTTTTTTCAGATATTAATTAGTAATCGTACTTGATTAATTTTTTGTGAAAGCAAAATTTGATTTTCAAAATGAATTTGAACATTTTATTTAAATAGCTTAAAAAGTTTAAAAGCTCAAAACAGTTTAAAAGCTAAATATCATTTTTTTATTGATTGATTTGATTATTAATTATTATTAATAAATTATTGATTATTAATTTTATTGATAAATGGGAATTTTCATTGATGTTAAACTTAATCACTGATTTTATTGATTTAAACAGGTGCAAAAAATACTAATTCTCAATCGCCAGAAACACGGAGACCTCGTCCTAGGATTCCAAAGGTTGAGCAGGTAGATGAATTCAAATGTGATGAGTGCGATATGAGGTAAGATATTTCAGATAACCATTTTATTAACTTTCCGAAGGTAAAGATTATGTATTCATAAAAAAATCCGATTTGCTAATTTTATGTTTTCTCAATGTCTTAAGTAATTCTGAATCAAATGAGACCAAATTTGGAAAAAGTATGTGTGTGTACGTGCGTGTGCGTGTATGTGAACATATTTTTTGCCGTCAATTGACGTTTTTTCAAAAACTACTGGACCGATTTCAAAAATTTAAAATCCATTCGATGTATCTCGATAAGGACTAGCCTTTATCAATTTTGCGCAACGATCAGCCAAGCCGTTTCTTTGTAAATAGCAGAACAATGAAAAAAAAATCGTCCACGTTTTAGCCCGCAATTCTGAATCGATTATGGGGATTCAAAAACCGTTCGAAAGATATTAGTTGGGAATGATACCGATTAGTTTTAGGTGAAAATCTACCGAGACGGTTTCTTGTAATTAACTGTTGAAAAAAAATTTAAGCCGATTATCATGGAACTTGTTTTGGCGATATATATCATGGTCTTATAGAACTTACTGAAATATTACTGCCTTACGACAAGTAGTTTAACTTTAAAAATACATCAAAGTTTGAGTAAACGAGTAGTTTTTTTGGCGTTTGTTAAAATTAAAATTAGACGACTTACTTAGTATAACGATAGAGTGTTTGTTCGTTTTCATTGATGTGTAATACATCCACTCGGATATATATATTTTATTGATTAAGTCGTTTATATACACATATTCATGTAACTTGCCTCAAGGCAAAATACCAATACCAACTAGTTTTACTTTTAGTGATGTTCATAATATTTACTTAATATTCTGTTGCAAAGCTTAGGCCCAAAATAAATGTTTTACTTAATTTACAAAGCAGTATGTTGCAGATTATGTTAGGAATGATATGTGATATGTAGAATAGTGATTTGCTTCAGTGTCCTTATTTTTGGACCCCCCCTTCCCTTGGTGATACATGGCGATATTCAAAATTAACCCCCCCTCCCCCACCAAACATCACGTGTATTTTTAGATACGTGAAAAAACTAATTTTTTAGATTTATTTTTGAAAATATTTGAATATTTTTCAAAAATCAGTTAAAAAATAAATACACGTGATATCTTACTATACCCCTCCCTCCCCCACGTGATATTTTGTGATTTTTTGTCAAACCCCCCTCCCCCTAAAAACCTCACGTGATTAATAGACGCCCCCTTAAGCCATGAAAAAAGAATTTGGAATAATAGGTTCATTTTTTGGGGCATACACCGTGTTCGTTTTATGTTGAATAACGTATAATATTTAAATTATTTGGCAAAAATAACTCATTTTTTTTGGCAAATCTATACAAAATTGAATAGCCTGTAAAGAGTTCATAACAATATAAGGCTGTACATCAACTCGATATACTTTTATAAATCACTTAAATTAATACATCTATTGATGTTTTATTGATTAAGTTAGTTATTTATGGGTATTGGTAAGTTCAAGAAACTTGCCCTAAGGCAAAATGTCACTTACACCTGTATTATATATATTAGTATATTCAATTATTTGCAAAACTGCTAATAACTTTTAGGTTTGAAACGAATGATGAATTGATATATCACTCTGCTGTTCACGCCACACAAAGCTTGACCTGCCCATTGTGTAATGAGAAATTTACAGATTTGGATTCATGCACCGAACATAAAATCACATACAGAAGGTAATTGATAATGTCCCTATATACACTAAATAATGGTGTTTATAAATTTAAATATAATGGTTATTAATTGATTTCGTTTATAGGTGAACAACATCCTTGTGAATTCTGCGATCTCATATTCAACACTGAGGAACAAATGTTAGAACATTCAGAAAATGCGCATCAGGGCGATGAAGATGAAGAAAATACAAACGATGGTGAAATGGGTATTCACAATATTAAGGAAGAAGTCATTGAGGAATCGGTTCCAGAGGAAGGTGAAGAGAATGAAGGTGAAATGTTTGAAGACCCTCTTCGAATTTTAAATTCAATTACAAAATCAAATAGCAACAAAACTAAAAATAACAAACAAGATGGAAATAATAAAATTAATAAAGAAGCAACAAGTGGTTCTGAATCACAACCAGTTAGAAGAAGTATGAGGTCAGGTCGAAAAGATTATGCTAAGATGTTGAAATTGGATGATGAAGCAGATTCTGAGGAGGAAGAAGAGGAAATCGATGATGGACAAATACAAGACGAAGATAGTGAGAGTGATGTTGTTTTAGAGAAAATTAAGAAGAAAACTGATGGCAAATCTTTTGATGGGAATAAAAATACTAAAACTGAAGGTATGTTGATTATTAATAATTATATTAATAACTATATCATTTGATTAACCACTTCGGTACGGCGCCTACTATGTCCACGAAGCTTCGCTCACAGCCGGCGTACTACACCGGGGTACCATTAACTTTACGCGCGGATGTACTGGCTCTGGTTTGTTCAATTTTTCAATGTGTTCCACAAATTAGATTTGAACATATTTGCAGTTCTAAAAGAAAAACCAACAGGCTTTCGGATAACGCCAATAAGAAAGTAATTAAACAAAACGCACTATCCGAAAACATTAATTGAAAAAATATTTTATCCTTTTTAGCTAATAATAAATGATTATTTAGTATCAATTAATCTACATTATGTGGTCTATGCCAATGTGAATCGAATCACATAATTTCTTTTTCAATGTCTTTTATGGTTACGCCAAAAATTGAGTTTGAAAAAGGGGCCGCTTTGGCATATTTTCAATGATATCCCGGCCATAATGTGAGATACAAAGTTGAAGCTTGGTAATATCGGATGTTTTCAAGAAGACGTATAAATTAAAATGGCGTATAAATTATTTAAATACAAGGGTGGAGTCGATTGTGTATGACAAGGCATCCATACCCTTGTGCGTCGTAACTATTATGTACTCAACTGGTAGACCCTTGCAACTGTCAGAATGGTCTGGCTGTTTACATCTACTTTCTGAACAGTTAAAAGAATACACCCTCAAAATTTGAGCCTTGTGGGAGCAAGTTTTGAAAATCTTTTTTTGACAATTTTTAAAAATTGAAGGGATGATGACGCAACCGCGGAATGACTGCCAGACTGGTACTTTCTTAATGGACCGATAATAAAATATCATTAAAAAAAATTTCTAGCTTTGTGAAAACAGGTTTTAGTCAAATAGTTCACTAGCTGTTAGACTATCAAGTGAGCTTGCCGCTTGTACCGAAGTGGTTATTTAGCAATTTTTATACGAATATAGTCTTCCTATCATTATGATATTCTCTAAATTGTCTTTTTATTCCCCAGCTCCTAGGATATTAAATTCAACCCTCAAGACCACCATGAACGCAATACCCGAAGAGAAAAAAATACTTAACAAAAATATCAAACAAATGACACCAAGATCAACTAATCCTCCAAGGTTATTGAATCCTGGTGTAGCCAAAGTTAGTGAAACTGCACCTGAAAAGCAAAATGTATCAAAATCTATAGATTTACCACAAGTATCAGATGAAGATAAGAAGAATACAACATTAAGCTTGAAAGGAGATGAACCGAATGAAAATAATATAACTATAAGTTCTACACCTGCCAAGTTGACTAAAGCGCAGCTAGCTAATGTTCCTAGACAAAGGTAAAGATTTTCAATAATATCACTCTATATGAATGTGATTTAAATTAAATGCATTACTGATGTTGAACCGATTTCAACAATTTAAATGTCATTTGATTTAATTCCATAAGAACTAATGTGTTTATAGTTTTGTGCGACGATCGGCGCAGCCATTTCGTTTGTAATCAACAAAAACGTGTATAATTTTTGTCCATGTTTTAGCTCACAATTTTGAATTGATTTTAAAAAATTCAAAAACTGTTTGAAAAA